TCAGGTTTTTAAGGTTTTAACCAGATCAAAAAGTTATTTTTAAAGTTTTTTTTTGTTTATAAAAAAAAAAAGAATTCTTGCCGGCATTTTTTTTTTTCATTTGTAAAAGAATTGTTTCGGGTCGTTAACTCGATGTGTACCTGGTTTAATGGAAAAAACATATAGAAGTGTGCGTACCTTAATTTTTATGGTTTTTGATTTATTTTAATGGTATTTTAATTTAAGTAAAAATTTTTATTTAATTTAAATAATAAACGCGGAAACAATCAAACAACCAAACAAACACGTATAACAAAAAAATTTTTTAAAACAAACAAACAATACGGTCGACAAAACGAAAACCGTAAATAATTTTTACCTGTGGATTTACTGCGACGAAATTAATTATTAATAATTACCGTAATTTTTATTAATTACTACGACAACTTCCCCTTTCTCTCCCCTCTCCCCCCCAAACTAAAATATCGGAATAACAATTAACACAAAACGACGCATATTGTCCGATTGTTGAATTTTAAAAATTAAATTATTGTAAAATTCCGATTGTTGCTCTTTGTTCGTTTCCTCTTTCAAACCGAAATAAAAAAAATAAAAAAAGGTGAAAAATATGTAAATGAAATCGACGAATAATAAATAAAATAAAACAAATAAAAAACAGCTCCCTCCACTCCTCTCTACCCTCCTCCCCCCGTCCGAAAAAAAAAGAAATTTCAAAAAGAAAATTAGAAATTGTCATCAAGGGAGCTGTTGTCTTAAATTGAACAACGTCAACGACAATCTTTATATGACAAATTATGTTTTGTTATTTGTCGTCGACGACAACAACAACCACAAACAACAACAAACATCAACAGGAAAACAAAAAATAAATAAAAATTATCGATTTCAAATAAATAAATAAAAAACATCAAAAACAAATTCACGAATTGAAAAATTAAAAATATAATGATATGACGTCATCAAATAAATCCACGTGATTATTAAAATTTTTTCCTCCTTACTTTTCTTCGTCAAAATAATAATAATAATAATAACCGAAGCAAACGAAATAATTTTATGCAAATAGAAAGAAAAAAAAAGAAGAGATTTTGACATTTTATCTAAATTTAAGTAAAGTCAATAATAAGAATTACAAAAAAAAAAAAAATCTCCAGTCGACTGGAATTTAAATGGATTTAAAAAAAAATTCGATATGATAAAAAAAGTATTACATTTTACTCATTGGGTGTCCTATTAGAGAAAATAATTCATCGGTATATATCTATTATTATTATCTCTCTCTCTCTCTCTCTCTGTTTTTTTTGGAATTTAAATTTTAGACGTTTAATTAATACTGTGCTGGACAAAAAAAAGCGTACGAAATTTCACGTGTGTGCGCGTTATCAGATGTTTTAATGCGTGCGTGCGTACCTGAGTATTATGACAATAATACGCCGCGTCGACCAACATTCACACGCGTATTATTTTATTTATTTTTTTTTTGGTATTTAATTGTAAATTATTAAGGACGGCTTTCACTTCCAGAAGAAGAAGAAGAAATTTTCAGAACTGACAAGACTTTTAAAATTTGATTAATATCCCTCCTTCCCTTCCCCTTCTCCTCCTCCTCCCCCGAGTTTGTTCAACAAATGATGATTTTAGATTCCGCTAAATATTTCATAAATATTTTCATTTAAAAAAATTTGAAAACTTGCTGACGTTGCTACTGATGGTGATGATGCTGCTGCTGTTGTTGGTATTATTGAATACAAAAGGAAAATCTTAAAACTTTAAAAAAAAAATTTCTTTTCTCCCTTTCTCTCTCTCTCTCTCTCTATTTTCTTCATCTTTTCTTTACATTTTTTTTGTTCTTTTTCTCCGGTTTATTTATTATTGAAGAAGAAAGTAAACAATAGAAGATGATCGATGGAACATTCATTTTAAACGATTCTTTATCTAGAAAATATTTTTCACGAAATATCTACTACTACTACTTTTGTTTCATCTTTTTTGCATCATTTCCTCTTTTCCCCTCCTCCTTTCCCTCCTCTTTCTCTCTCACTCTTTCTCATTTTTCTTCATCTTCTTACTTTCATGTTGTCTTTTTTTTTCATTAAGTCTTTTGTTCTTTTTTAACCCTTTTTTCATTTAATAATTTCTTTCCTTAAAAAAAAAAGTAAAATTTCCGTTTGTTTTATTAAATTTTTTTTAATAACGATGATAATGACAATAAATTAATTTTTTTTTAATTCAATAAAATTTTATGTATTGGGTTGGTATAAAAGTAAATACGAATTTTTAAGAAAACAAAAAACCATTTATTAATTATGTAAAATTATTTTTATCTATTATATTATGTCCATTATTATCAATGACCTTTTTCCATTTTTCGGGTAGTATCATTTTCCTTTTTTCATAAAACTCTTTATTTTTAGGAGCAAAAAACTGCTCCAATGCAGTTTTGACCTCATTGTCGTTTTGGAATTTTTGTCCATTCAAAAAATTTTTTAGCGATCGGAACAAATGATACTCACTTCGAGCTAGGTCGGGACTATAAGGAGGGCGAGGCAAAACATTCCAGCCTAGCTCCAGTAGTTTTTGTCCAGTGGCTAAAGATGGGGAGGGTCTGGCATTATCGTGGTGAAAGACAATTCCTTTGCTATTGGCTAGGTATGGTCGTTTTTCTTGGATGGTATCATTTAAATTTGTCAATTGTCGAATGTAAACCTCTGAATTTATGGTTTGATTTCGTGGCAGCAGCTCAAAGTTGACTATGCCTTTGTAATCCCACCAAAATGATAACAATAACTTTTTTGGTGAATGTCAGCCTTAGAAGTTGTTGGTGCCTGTTTCCCTTGCCTAGACCGGAATCTTTTGCTCAAAATGTTGTCATAGACAACCACCTTTTCATTTCCGGTGACCATTTTTTCGAAAAAGGGTCATTCGTATTGCGTTTAAGAAGCATATCGCAAAGACCAACTCAGGTTCCCAAAAGTACCGGCTCGGTGGGTCTTCGTGCGGGGCGCCGGCCGTCAGGGGTAGGCCCATTCGGTGGGGATCCGATACCAGGAACACGGGGGGAAACGTTAGGGGGGCAGCCTCTGCGTGTCAGCCGGGAACGGTCCTGGTATCGGTATACCCGTCGCCAAATAGTCCGCTGCAAGCATTCGAGGATCTGCTACGGGCAATTTCGAGGGAGCTGGACAGGTTCGGGGACTCGCGTCCGATTCTAGTGTCCGGGGACTTCAACACGAAACACACATCGTGGTCAGGTTACGCAACTAACGTGCGCGGCCGATTGTTAAGACAGTGGTTAGACGAGCGTCATCTCATCGTGTCGCGGCGGGTCCACGATCGATCTCACGATTTCATCCGGTTCGACGGCGGCGCGGGTCTCCGACTGGGAGGTCCTTTCCGACTTCGAGTCCCTCAGCGATCGCGCCTACGTGGTGTTCTCGTTCGGGGATCCTCGGAGCTCGAGGGGGCAGTATCCTCGCCGGACAAACCTCGCGTCGTCCCGCCCCGGTGGAGTCTGCGGTCGTTCGACGACGAACAGCTTGCCGAGTGTCTCGCGTCCGAGGCCTGGAGAGATGACATTGCTCCCGGCCCGACAAGACGAAACGCACACGATATGGCGCGGGGAGTTCGGGACGACCTAGGACGGATCTCGGACTCCTGCATGAAGAAAATCGGCTCGCGCTCGACGACTCGGAACGCCCGAAGTATTGGTGGACGGACAAGATAGGAGAATTGTGGAAGGAGTCCTGTCTCGCACATCGCCGGTTCGTCGGCAAAAAAAGACAACTGATCAAACGGGGAGGACGCTACGAGGACATCGCGAACGACGACGAACTCGCGCGTTTAAAGGCGGAGTGGAGGGCTTCCCGGGTCTGGGTCCGACGAGCGGTATGGAGTTCCAAGGAAACGGGCTGGAAAGAACTCCTGAGCGAAACGGATTCGGATCCGTGGGGTCTCCCGTTCCGTCTCGTGACCAACAAACTGAGAGGTTCGACGGGACCGCTGACGGCCGGCATGAAGGAGGAGTTTTTCGCCGAAGTGATCCCCGAGCTCTTCCCCCGCGTCGAGCCTTTTGCATTTTTCCCGCCGGATCTCTCGCACGACACGAACCGCGACCGCGACACCGAAGTGACGGAGGGGGAGGTTTGTCTCCTCTTCGACGCGGCCTCGAAGAAACGCTCGGCTCCGGTCCCAAATGGCGTGCATTACCGCATTCTCGGCAAGTCTGTCGGGGTACTGTGTGCGCGTCTTTCGGCGCTCTACACCGCGTGCTTTCGAGAGGCGACGTTTCCAACGCCGTGGAAAGAAGCAAACTTGGTACTGTTGGACAAACCGGGTAGGGATCCGACGACGCGGAGCGCGTACCGGGCGATTTGTCTTCTCGATGTGAAAGGCAAGTTGTTCGAACGCGTGATAGCGTCCCGGATCGTCGAACATTTACGATCAGGGGAAGGGAGGAACGACCTCTCTCCGAATCAATACGGCTTCCGGGCGGGCCGTTTGACGACCGCGTGTGCGCCGGAATCCGGCACACGCTTCAAGGGGGCGGCGTCGCGATCGCCGTCTCCATCGACATCAAAAACGCGTTTAACTCGGTACCTTGGTCCGCGATAAGGGACGGGCTAACGTCGAAGTCCGTGCCAGATTATCTCGTGTCGGTGATAGGGTCCCTCCTCTCGAAGAGGAAGATCGCGTACGAGAAACCGGACAGTACGACGGGAAGGGCGGACGTGTTCTGCGGCGTGCCCCAGGGATCGGTTCTAGGACCACTCCTGTGGAACATCGCCTACGACCGCGTCCTCACCCGGACCGTTCTTCCCGAAGGCGTATCGTTGACTTGCTATGCCGACGACACTTTGCGGGTCAGGCGATTATACGCGACGGTCGTTCACTCCATGGCCCTGTACGGAGCTCCGATTTAGGCCGAGTCGGTATCGGCCTAAACTCCCACTTTCGCCCACTCGACACCCACTATCGTCCACTAAACTCCCACTTTCGCCCCATCAACACCCACTTTCGCCCACTCGACACCCACTTTCGCCCACTCGACACCCACTATCGCCCACTAAACTCCCACATTCGCCCCCTCGACACCCACTTTCGCCCATTAAACTCCCATTTTCGCACCCTCGACACCCACTTTCGCCCATTAAACTCCCACTTTCGCCCACTAAACTCCCACATTCGCCCCCTCGACACCTACTTTCGCCCATTAAACTCCCACTTTCGCCCACTAAACTCCCACATTCGCCCCCTCGACACCCATTTTCGCCCATTAAACTCCCACTTTCGCCCACTAAACTCCCACATTCGCCCACTAAACTCCCACATTCGCCCCCTCGACACCCACTTTCGCCCGCTAAACTCCCACATTCGCCCCCTCGACACCCACATTCGCCCCCTCGACACCCACTTTCGCCCATTAAACTCCCACTTTCGCCCACTAAACTCCCACATTCGCCCCCTCGACATCCACTTTCGCCCATTAAACTCCCACTTTCGCCCACTAAACTCCCACATTCGCCCAATAAACTCCCACATAGTCGTAAACTCGTTAGTCGGAGACGGCGGAGTGTTGGTTCTGCGGTGCGCCCGAGGACGACGTCGAACACACAATTGCGACATGTCCCACGTGGGACGTCCATAGGCAGCGGCTAGTCGAGGCCATCGGACCCGACTTGTTGATACGCGGCTCAGTGAACGGGTTGCTCCGCGGACCTCGGGAATGGTCCGTGATCTCGCGATTTTCAGAAGCGGTCCTACAGACGAAAGAGGACCACAACGAAAAAAGAAAAGAAAAGAAAAGAGGAAAACAACGGCGGCATCGGCGGTGAAGAGGAAACAATCAACGCCTGATCATCCGTGAGTACGGCGACGAACTTAGCTTTCTTGGGGCTCGTCGATCCCGGACGATCCCTCGTCTGTCTTTCTCCTTCACAATCCCGTTTACCTTGTATTAGATGATGCGATCAACTAACACTTAACTTTTAACTTTGCCCTTTTCAGGAGACGACGGTAAGTCTTTATCCCCCATCCGATCGCATTCTCAGGAAACAGGCGAGTTGCCCATCTTTTCCCCCCAGCGAAGGACCGGAGGACACTCCCGAAAGGGGCTTGCCGAAAGTCCTGGGAAATGCGTTCTCGTCTTCGAGGTGACCGCGGAACGAAGACTAGGGCGAATCTCCCACCAAAGTAATCGTGTAGAACGGTAACGTTCTGGCTTCCCGGAGAGGGGACTGACTGAAATGTAGGTACGACCCCAACGAACGTCCTCCCCTCTTTATATAAGCCACGCTACTGCGACATGCTCAGGAATTTTAGTGGGTATGATTCCCGGTTAGGCCTTCTCTCGATTCCCATATTGAGCCCCACACTCCCTCTGTAAAAGGAGGGGTTGAGCGTAATCTGCATTTCTCCTGAGATATCAAAAAAAAAAAAAAAAAAAAGGTTCCCCAAAGTAACGCATCAAGCTTCTTATGGCACCCAAGACGCCGCAGACGGTTTTTGACGCACGTATGTGACACACCTAGATTTCTTACAATGTCCTTTGTCGAATTATGTCTATTATAATCAACGAGGGCCTTCATTTGGTCATCATTGACCTCCAATGGACGCCCGGAGCGCTCCTCATTTTTCAAAGGAAAATCTCCAGAACGGAATTTCGCCAACTAGGTTTGACACTGTCGTTCAGGCTTCATCACCTTACACTGCCCACAAATTTTTATAGGCTTGAGAAGCATTAACACCCTTTCAAAAATAAAAAAAAAAAATGTGGAGGAAATGCTCCCTTTGGCTCCCCATGTTTAAATGTCTTTTGCTCGCGCATTATTTAAGAGTTCAATGAAATTTTGGTAACTAAATGTTACAGAAGGAACCAAATAATAAAATATCAAAAGTTCATGTCTGTGCAAAAACGTAAACGTACTCAAAAACATGGACAAACTATCTGTTGGTAAAATCCGTAATCACTTATCGGCCAACCCAATATTTAATTAATTAATAAAAAGAATCCTGCCGGAAATAAAATCGAAAAAATTTAAAATGAACGTTTACTAAAATTTTATTAATCGATCCAATGATGATAATAATAATATGTTACGTCACAATTGAGATATACTGATAATAATTTTAAGGTTTGGTTTTTTGAGCTCCGAATAAAAATAAAAATGGCGACTAATATTAATTTAGTCTACGGAAAAAAAAAAAAAAACGATTCTAATATTTTTTTTTTCCTTCTGATATTTTTTTTCTTTTTCTCCTCCTTCTCCCCCTCCTCCTCCTTCTTCTCTTTCCTTTTCAAATATTTTCGTTTTCTCTTTCTATTCGAAAATAAAAAAAAAAAAAAATGAAAAGAAAAAAAGTTGAAAAAGATAGATTAGTAGGAGAAAAAAAAAATAAGAGAAGAAGAAAAGAAAAATAAAGGAAGCGTCTTACGGTTGGCAGAACTTGATGGATTATGGCGGAGTTTGTTCGAAGGTTGGGAAAGAGAGAGAGAGAGAGATGAAAAAATAAAAAAAAAAAAGAATAGATGAGAAGTAAAAAAAATTAAGGGAGTAAAGGCGGATGGGGGTGGGGGGTGGCAACAAAACAGAAGCCCTGGAACATCACTCATCACAAGGGTAAAAAGGATAAATACTTTGTCATAGTATAAAAACATCTCTCGAGCATTCTAAACCGCCACTTTTTCCACACCCGTGTCCATTTTAAAAATAAAAAAAAAACCTTTGAATTTAACCTTTGAAAAATAAAATTTAAGGGAAACGAAAATTCCCCCAATCTTCCCTTCCCTCCCCCGCTGGGAAAAAAAATCAAATTTTTTTTATTTTCGTACGACGAATCTTCACTCCAGGAAATGATTTTAAATATAAAAAAAAAAAAATCAAAATATTTAAATTTTTATACGCTCCCTACTCCCCACCTCCCCCCCCCCGAAAATTCAACTTGAAAATTAATGTAGTCATAATGATAATAAATCACTTAATAATTTTATTTTCGTATGAAAAAAAAATCCCCGAATTTTTTTTCTAAATGACCTTGAAAATCTTCACTTCCTAGAATAAGAGAGAAAATTAAAACTATTTATTTATTTAAATGTAGGAGTGTCTTCTGCTTTTATTAAGATAATTAATTTTTCATATTAATGATAAAATAATCCGATGGAAGACGTCGATTCGTAAAAGTAATAAGAGAGAGAGGGAGAGAAAACAAGACAAGAAGAAAAGAAAAAAAAAAAAAGTAGAAAAAAAGAAGAAGGACAAAAAAAAAAATAAAAAAACTTTGGCAAAAGGACCAAGAGAGTTCTAGATTAATGTCTCAAGCCCAGAAGTAAAAGAAGCAATATGTCATCCTTTGCAGAAACAACAAAAACAAAACAACAACAACAAAAAAACAAAAAGGAAAATTTTTACTTATGCAAATTTATTTACTTGTTTTTTTTTTTTTTATGATCAAAATAAATTGATTTCTGGTACGAGACGTGAATTTTATTTCGAAAAAAAAAAGAAGAAATCCTGGATTTAAAATTTCAAATTGAGTAATCATGAATGCAGAGAGAGAAAGAGAGAAAGAGAGAGAGAGAGAGAGAGAGAGAGAGAGAGAGAGAGAGAGAGAGTAGAAAAAAAATTACTCTTGCAACAAAAGTAATTTAATAAACCAACACCTGATATAGTAATTTAAAAAAAAAAAAAAAATTTTTTTTCTTCTTGAAAAACAAACAAACGACAAACAAACAAAATTTGAATAAAAAATTTTTGTTATCGTTTGTTTCTAAAAAAAAAAAAAAAATGACAAAATTAAAATTTCCACGTATAAAAAAAAAAAACGTCAGAAATTATGAAATAAAAATAATTATGAAGGGAGGAAAAAAAGAAAACAACAGCCATGCTTTCATGAAAACGGATAGAAAAAGACAGAGATAGAAAAATAAAAAGAGAAATAAAATAGAAAGAAGGAAAGAGAGGAATGAAAAAAAAAATGAGTAAAATGGCAAGCCGCCGCCGCCGCCGCCGCTGCTGCTGCCGTTGCCGCCATCATGATGGAGCAAAAGATGCTGCTGCTGCTTTGGAGACGGGGATTAATCTTGTTCGAGTCCCGAGTGAGACGATTCGTCAATGTCACTTTGACAACCACCTTTGGCCCACCCTCATACTATTTGAAAAAACTTTTTACTTTGATTTCGTCCATTGTTCCATTAAACCTTTTTCCATTTTCCACATACCCACAGGGGTAATAAAATCTTTTGAGGGTTTTTAATGAATTTTCTTCAGGTGAAATTTTTCTTTTCTCGAAAAAGAATTTTTCTTTTTTTCCTTTTTCCTTCAAAGGAAAAAAAAAAAATATATCGATTCGAAATTTATCTTTAAGAACAAAAGAAAAAGGAAAAAGAAAAAAATTAAAGTTTTTTTACTTCTAGAAAACTCCACGTGCTTTATAAATATATACTCTTCGACCGATTATAACTTTTAGAACCCGAATATCATTATTAATACGAAGTATCGTCCTGTAGGTATACGCAGGTACGTCGTCGTCGTCGTCGTCGCCGCCGCACCGCACGTTCATTATAAATTCATATTAAAAAAAAAATTTTTTTTTTTTCACTGCCAAGGATTTTTTTTTTTTCGAAAAAATACCCCAAAGCACAATCATTGATAATTTTCATTTAATATTTAAACTCACGAATATTATTATTATTATTATGATTTATTACCTGTATGGGTATGTAGGTAGTTAACACGGGTTTTAGTTCCACTCGCTAAAATCTATAAGTACAAACGTATGCCGTAAAACTTGTTAATGACATGTTAAATAAAGCGGAAGGATTAGAAGAGGGGAAACGGAAGGGGTGTAAAAGAAAATGGCGGAAAATTTAATTTCCTTTTTTACTCTAACCTTTTCCTGTTTATTGTTTTTTTCTTTTTTTTAAAACACCGTGAATTATTTTTTTTTATTCGTAACATACCTGAAATTGTTTTTCGATTGATCCGACCGAACCACTCCCACCACCACCATCACCGTCACCATCATCGCGTAGATAATTTTTTTTTGGGAGTCTGAGAGTTTTTTGATCATGGACCAAAAAATCGTGACGAAATCAAGTCTTTTAGTATCTTCTCCTTATCGTTTTCTTTTTTTTTATGTAAATAATTTATCAAGTGTATTTTTCTTCTCACTTTTTTTTCTCCTCTCCCATATTATTATTATCATTATTATTATTATTATTATTATTATTATTATTATTATTATTATTATTATTATTATTATTATTATTATAATTATTATTATTATTATTTTGTCATAGGGGCGACCCTGATTTTTTTCGGGTAAATTGCATAAAATTCTCATTAAGGTTATTATTCCTCATAGGCACGACGAGGACGATGAGGACGACGACGACGACGTCGACAAAATAAGACGTAAAACCTGAACAAGATTTCATTATAAGGCTCATTTGTCAGTGAACCTGGTCACGTGATTAATTATATTCCATCTTTTTTTTTTCCTTTTGTTATCTGGTCGGCTTTCTTTCTCATTTTTTGTTTCTCCAACTTATTTATTTTTTTTATTTTTATTTTAATACTTTTTCCGATTTGTTTTCTCTTTACTTTGCCGTTACGAATCATTCACTGTCATTCGAATATGCTATGGAAGGGGGGGAGGAGGGGAGAAAAGTGTCGTGGATTTAATAATAATAATAATAATAATAAAAGGGATTTATATTGGGTTTAGTTATTGAACGATTCTTTTTTACAATAACCCTGACTGGATAAAAGGATAGAAAAAAAATTTTTTTTTCGAGTAACATCGGTCGGGGGGTGGGGTGGGGTGGGGGTAGGTTCTTTCATTTTTTTCCTTTTAGTTAAATGTTGTAAATACATTAGTATTTTCTTATTTTTACCGCAAACGCATTTAAAAAACTCACCCTTTCTCTCTCATCCCCTTTATAATTAATTTTTAAATGCAACAATTTATTTGTAACAACTTGCCAGACGTATTTGTTATAATTAGTAAGAAAAACTTGTGGTGGTGAGATACAACGGGCGGTAGCAGAAGCAAGAGCAACAGCAGCAGCATCAGCCACAACAACCCTCATTGAATGCGGGAATAATAATAATAATAATAATAATAATAATAATAATAATAATAATAATAATAATAATAATAATAATAATAATAATAATAATAAAATAAAAATAATGATAATGACGTTTAAATGAAATCAATAAAAAAATCCAAACTCATTTATTATTATTGTTAAACGTACGTGCTTTAAAAAAAAAAGTGCGTAACGTTCGTTTGTTTTATTATTTATTAACGCAGCATCCCAATGGATCATTTTTTTTATTCACGATCGATCGATCGTTTCGATCGGTTATAACGAATTTTACATATAAAAAAAAAATATTTTTATTTCATAATTATTTAAAAAAAAAAACATTTAAAAAAATTAGCAGAAGACATGTTTTTATAACGGATCCATCATCACGTGTAGAAGATAAATGAGTTCAACGCTATTTTTGACTTTATTAGTCGAAATCATTAAAAAAAAAAAAAAAGAAAACAATAGATGAATCAAAAAATAAAAATTTATTTTAACCTTTGTAAATTAAAAAGGTACATTATGGCGAATTTTTTGTTGTTGTTAGTTCCACGACCCGTTCGAATTTTTTTTTTTTTATATAATAAAAGAATAATTTAAGAAGGATTCGTAATAATAATAATAATAATAATTTTTTTCGTAACCTTTAAATAACGGTTAATGAATGTTACGTACAATCGTTTGTTGATAATCAATCATAAAACTGTAGAAAAGAAAAAAAAAACGAGTTATGCGATTGGTATACGCATGAGCCCAATATTGAATTTGTTTGTTTGTCATTTGTCAAACGCAAAAAAAAAAAAAAAATGGCATCAGAGATTTCTTTTCTTTATTTTCACTTGAGTAAATCTTTTTTATTATAAATGAAAGAATTCACAATATCACCTTTTACACATGGCTGACTATCAGTTTTTTTTTTCTTCTGCTTTTTTTTCTTTATTCTTACGCATTTTCGGTTATTAGGTTTTAGTTTCCAAAACCTAATAAAACAAAAAAATTTTATCTTCTCGTCGTGTCACGAACGCGCGTGTGTACGTGCGTGAGTGCGTGTTTAATCCTTTTATTAAAACGACGAATTTTTTTTTTTTTTTTTGATAATATTTAAATAAATAAAATAAATTTCACAAAAAAAAATTATTTATTAATGAAACAGCCTGACTAAAAAAAAAAAAAAATGAAAAAATCAAGTTTAATAACGTTCATTATTTATGTACATAATCCTTAATAAATAAATAAATTTTCAAAAAAAAAAAAAAACAACTTGTTGTTATTGACCTAAATACATTAACAAAAAAATAATAATAATAATAAAAAACCCCCCAAAAAAAAATAATTTTTTTTTTTTTTATTCGACTTGTTAAATAAATTTTTTCGTCACATGTAAATTTATATATATATATAAAGTTTGCTAACCACAAAAAAACAAGTTTAAATGACATTTACAAAAAAAAAAAAAAAAAAAATCTCCGAAAAATTTTACAAAAAAAAAAAAAATAAACAGTAAGTGTTACGACATATTTTTTATTTAAAACGTGTGAAAAAAAGTAAAAAAAAAATTTTCTAACAAACAAAAACAACAAATTTTTTTTTTTTTTTCGACAATGTTTTCCTTACGCGTGGGCAAAAACAAAATGGCGTGGACAAACGTTGTTGGGTCAATTTTATAAAAGTTGATTTTTTTTTTTGGAATCCTAGCGATTCAAATGAATCCTTACAAAACATAAAAAAAGGTTTTTTTTTTTTTAATAATAACAAAAATTTTAAATTTTCCCGCCAAAAAATATATTTAAACGGTAACATGGAGGAAAATGATTTTAAATAAACACGACGATGAATTTTTTCTAGATAAAATTCTCCAGTTTTTGTATTAGAAACAAAGAGAGAGAGAGAGAAAAAAAATAAAATAATTATTAAAATTGAACGTTACAAAAAAAACTCATCTCTCTCTCCTTCTCTCTCTCTCCTTCTCTCTCTCTCCTTTTTTTAATCATTTTTTTTTTTTTTTAATCTCGAGCCTATTTTTAAAAGAAAAAATTATTTTTCTATCACTTTCCAGCTTTCTCTCATTTTAATCTTCTCCAGCCGAACGAATTTACAAAAAAAAAAAAAAAGAAACGTTTCACTATTTTTTTTTTTGTTTTCTCTTAAGAAAATCATTTCTCCCCTGTATAAATTCCATATTCTATGCTCTACATAAAAAATTAAAAATAGAAAATTTTTTTAAAATTTTAAAATGACATCGTTCTCGCGTTAGCTAAATATATGTACTTATATTTAATTTATATTTAATAAAATGATTCGGTGTTTTCGACAGTGACGAATCGAGTGGCATTCGTCATCCCGTCTAACATTATTCTACGTCGTAATGCTTGAGCCTATTTCTCTCTCTTTCTCTCTCCTTTCTTCCTGCTCTCCCTTCTCCCCCTTACTCCCTTACCCTCCTCTCTCTTCTCTCTGTCTCTCTCTCTCCCGATTTCTCCTTTTCTATCATTTCTTTCTTCTTCTTCTTCTCCAGTTTTCTGCTGCTTTTTCCTTCTCCAGTTTTCCAAATGGATAATATCAGTTATTCTCTCTCTCTTTTTCTCTTATATAAAATTACTATTTGTTTTCATTATATTTCGATTTAGTTTTTTTTTTCTCCAAAAAAATTCCTTCCATTTTTAATTAACGATTGATTTCAATTATCCAGCAAAAACTAAAACAAACAAACAAACAACAAAAAATTAAAAATTTATTTATTTATTTATTTTTTTTTTTGTGGATTTATGTAAATGTTAAAAAATTATTTAAATAAAAATCGTGTTTTTTTTTGGCAAAATGTCGTCGTCGTCGAATTAAAATAACTAACTAAATTTTATTTGTGATAACATAATAACAACTTCCTGGAAAAAAAAAAAATATTATTAACGTCATTTGTTAACTAAAATAACTTTGACTAATTTACTGTCGTTAAATAAAATATACTGGACAAGATTTAAAATTCGAAATTTATTTATTTTCGGTTATATTCAACTAATCAGGTATACAAAACTTGAAAATTTTTTTTTTTGCTTTTTTCTCCAAAAAAAAAAAAAAAACTATAAAATTTCCAGTGATTTTTATTTTAGTAATAATAATAATATTTTAAAGCGAGGATTTTTTTTTAATACTTTATATCGCTTTCACCGATTAAAATTTAGTTTTCCAGTTTTTATCACGCGTGTTCTTTTTTGGTTTACCAACATGTAAAACATCTCCAGTTTGTTCCATTTTGTCCTCATCAAAAACATCATCTTCTTCCTCCCTGGAAAGAGAAAAAAAAAAGTAAAAGATTGTATCGAATTTTTTTTTTTTTTAATAACAAACCCGAGCGAGAGAGCATGGATCGATTTGAAAATCTAACATTAGTCATTTTGCTAGAAATCGATACACGGAGAGGAAGTAAGTGTGAGAGAGAGAGAGAGAGAGAGAGAGAAAGAGAAAAAAAGAAAAGGCTGTCAATCTAAATCATGAAAAATCATCTATTAAATAAAAAAAAAAAAGAAATCAAGATAAAATAAATTTAAAGTTATCAGTCAGTTAAGCCCGCACACACCAGTAGTACTATTACTAATAAAAATAATAATAAATGAAAGTTTTTAATATTGAATTAAATTTAATTCAAAAAATTATTATTATTATTATTATTTACCTGTCAACTTCAGGGTGCGTACGTAATACGCATAATACACGCACTTTAAAATCTACTACCGGTTAAAAAAAAAAAAAAAAGATAAAAATCCAATATGATCAAATTATTGATCATTTGGGTGGTCACTGGAATTGATATGAAAACTCCATGATTGATTATTACCAATTAATTATATAAACGTTACAATTAACGACGGAGGAAAAAAAAATTTTTTTTTCGTTTCGTATCGAATAAATTCAACGGATATCCGGTTAAATTTGGTACCGGTAACAAATAGAAAACATATCGGTGGTAACAAACACTATTATCAAATTCGATCATTATTATTTTCATTAAAAAAAACCGTGAATAAGCCGTTAGTAATTACCCACCCTCCCTCTACCCCTCCGTTTTTTTTTCTTTCTAAATACACGACGACGCCATTACAATTATAACTTTTTTTTCCACTTCCGTTTTTTTTTTTTCAATTTTAAAATAAACACTTAAAAGGGTAATTAAAAAAAAATTCGTGTAAGGATTTAAAAACCGAGTCCTCGAATTTTTATACTTTTATATTATATATTATAGACTTATACTGTATATAATATACATACTGCAAATTTTTAAAAAAACCGGATATTCAGTAAGTATTTATTATTAAACTTGTGCGAATTGTGAACTACGACATCCATTAGAATAATATTTTTTTATTTATGGTTTATTAATGCCCTTGATCGGGTGTTGGTCAAACAATTCTACCAACATTTTCAATTAAAATTTTTTTTTTATCAATTAACAAATTTTTTTTTTTGCCAACTTATTCAAAGAAAATTCCCTCCTCCCTCCCCATTTCTTCTCTCTCTCTCTCCCCCTCAAAAAAAAAACAAACAAACGAACGAATAGATTATTGTAATAAATATGGTTTGTCGTTTTTGTTTGTTGTTGTTGTTGTTGTTATCATTATTATTATTATTAATAACAATCCATTAATTCAATTTGTTTTTATTTTATTTATAAATCAATTAGCAAAAAAATTTATTTACAAAAAAAAAAGTAATATCCGGTCTACGGTGAGTGATTTTTTTTTGTAAAAATAATTTTTAAAAACGCGTAACGGTAATACGTGAGATTATTTATTATTTTCGGGAAGGTAATTACTCTCTCACACACACACGCGGAGAGAGTGAGAGAGAGAGAGAGAGAGGAAGAAGAAAAAAAAAACATTTAAATAATGACAAATGAATTTAACGCATCGACTCCTGTGTGATTTAAAGTTAATATGTGGTAATTACCTAGTAAGTGCGGCGTCTCCTTTAACAAATACTATTTTCGTATGTACGTACTTAATTATAATAATAATAATAATAATAATAATAATAATAATAATAATAATAATAATAATAATGATAATAATTATAATATTCATAAACTGGAGTCTTGTTTATAAACACATACGTGAACGTGAGACGACCACCTAAGAATTGTTATACTTCTTAGAAAGAAGAAGAAGAAGAAAATTGAATTTAATACTTATTGAATATTATTATTATTATTATTTCATTGATCCTATCGACAAAATTATTATTATTATTATTTGTAAGAGGTTAATAAGGTTTGTTTAAAAAACGAGAAAAAAAAACATTAAATTATTTATAGGTTTTTTTTTTCTTTTCTATCAATTAAAAAAAAAAAATAAAAATGCATCAAATATAAAAATGGCGTCTCAGACGGTTTCGTTTTTTTTTAATAAAAAGTTTTGCCAATGTTTAAGATTTATGGGACTCAGACTAAAATTGAAAAAGAAGTCATCCAAAAAAAAAAAGTTGGTTCCATGGTTCACGGTTCAATTGTACCTAAAATTTTCTGGCATATGTGGAAATTTTTTTTTCATCATTTCTTTTTTTTAATTAGTTTTTTTTTTTTTAAAGTATTAAAAAGTTATTTATTTAATTTAATTTAATTTAATTTTTCCTTGTGCCCTTACATAGGATCGTCTCCCGAATCGAATTTAAGGGAAAGGAAAGGGGGAGGGCGAGGGAAGGGGAACACATGTAGATATAATTCCCATGAAATAAATCCCGTCGTGAAACAACAAAGACAAAAAAAATTTTTTTTTTTCGTCCCGTCGTTTTAATAAAAATTATGATGACGTCATAAAAATAAAAATTTTTTATTACGTTTTCTCTCTCTCTCTATTTAAGTCTAACAGTAAAATAATCATTGAGAATTTTTTTTAATATGAATTATTATGCGGCTCTTTTAAAAAAGAAACTAAAAAAAATATGGAGGCTAAATTTAGTAGTTAAATTTATATTTCACATCTTCATTTTTTTTTTTTTTTTTAAATCTACTAATTACTACTTTCTAGTGTTATAATAATAATTTTTTTTTCACTAAATCGTTTTTACCCGTTTTGAGTATTTACGTGCGTGTGCGAATTTGGTAAATAAGTATTTTAAATATTATTATTATCATTCAAAAAAAAAAAAACCGCCGCCGTGTTTAATGGAAAGTAATGCAAAAATTTTATTTTCCTTTTTTAATGATATCTTTCAAGAGAATTTTAAAATGCGTGTGTGTGTGTGCGCAAGGGGGAGATGGGGAGAGTGCAAAGGTTAGGTGCGCGTGTGTAAAGTGATACCTACCGGAAATACCGATTTAAAACATTCAAGGCGCCATAAATAAAAAATTTTTTTTTTTTTACGGGACGAAGATTTTCCCGAAAGAAAAAATTGATGGAGGGGCGTAGTGGGAAGGGAAGGGAAGAGGAGAAGAGGGGGCTTTCGGGGGATGAAAAAAAAGGAAAAAGTTTTTTTACTTAATATGATATTTTTGAAATTCAAATCAAGGTGATTAAAGTTGTTTTTTGTGCTCTCACGGTTACATACACGTTATAACGACGACATTATACAATTTTCATCGTCGTGCAATTTTCTTTTTTATTTATTTATGTATCATCATCATCGTCGTTATTGTCATTATCATTGTCGTCGTCGTCGTTGTCAACTTTATTTTTTTGTTTGTTTGTTTCGAAAAAGTATATATATATAATAATAATAATTTTGAAGGTGAAGAAAAGTTGACAAATATTAATAATATAAAACGAACAAACGAGAAGAGAGAGATAGAGAGAGACAGAGAAATTTCTAGAAAATTAAAATTCATTTCCACAACGATCGTAATCTTGAATTTCGTTAAAGTTTTTGAAAAAGAAAAAGTTAAGTTAAATTGAGTCAAAGATGGTATCCGTAGGACCCCCATGAGACGGGAGGGTCTTACTTCCCTCCCTCTCCCTCCACCCCCCAGTCAGTTCGTCGTCAGGTCGTTTATTTAATTAGACATTTGTGTTATTTTACATTACCTGCTTTCACTACTTCAGGAAAATTTAAATATGAGATTTACAAAAAAAAGTAAAAATTTTCCTTTTCCTTAGAGTTTGAATAAAAAAATTTTTTTTTTTTATTAAATAAATTACACGATTTTTCGTCTGCTGCTACGACGAAAAAACAACTTTTTACATTTAATTCATAATCATAACAAGAAAATATAATTTAGAAAAAAAAAAAGTTTTAATGGTGGAACAAAATTTTTTTTTTATTTAAAATTCTCGTTTGCACTCACTCACTCACTCACGCACTCACGCACTTTTTATTAATTGTACGTAAGAAATAATAATTAAATTAATTACATTTAAAAAAAAACGCAACCCCCGTTAATTCATTATTAATAATAATAAAAAAAATATTATTAGAAATAAAAATAAAAAAAAATGGCGAACGAAATAATAAAAAATTGTTTGGCAGTTGTTGTGGCTGTAAAATATTTAAAACAATTATAATTTTCATTTTAAGTGATTTAATTAATGAGACTCATTACTATGAGTTTAATTACACGACGATCACAATCAAGTTTTTCTTTCTTTCTTTTTTTCTTTTTTTTTTTCTTATATAACTTTTGTTGAAGCTTTTTCGGTCGTCGTTGTTTGTTTTCAATGATTAATAATAAGCTTTCATTAAAATTCAAACTAACGGGGAAAATAAAAAGAAATGAAAAAAGAAAATATATGAGGGATGAGAAAGTGGTGGAAGGGAGAGGAGAGTGGGAGGAGAAGGGAGGAAAGGGAAAAGAAAAGAATAAGAAAAAGAAAAAAAAAAGGGGAAGAAAAAAAATTTAAAAGAAAAAAAAGAAATAAATTCTTTGTCAAAATATTACTATCATTATTATTATTATATTAATGAAAAAAAAGGCTGGAAAATTGGCGGGTAAGATGGCGGGAGGGTGGTAGAAGGAGGGAGTGTAAAGGTTAAAGAAATAAAAGTTTTTTTTTTTTAAATAAAAAAACGATTTATTACTTACCCACCACCGCCTTACCACCGCCATTAATTTTTTCCCAATATTTTTACACTTTATTATCACCACCTGTATTGAATTATTTAATTATTATCATTATTATCATCTATATTATTATTATTATTATTATTTTACAATAATTAAATAAAAAGGGTTCGGATGTCGACGTTTCGATAATATTACGTTATTAATATTTATTTTTAAGGTATTTTCGTTTAAGTTAATTTTTTTAATTTTAAAATCAGCTGACGATTATCCTCCTTCCCCTCGCTCCTCCCCTCCTTCCACGATCCACACCCCGCTTTTAACGGTTTTTTTTTATACGCAGGTAATAAGGAAAGAAAAAGGAAAAACTCTTTTGATTGTTGGCAATGTGAAATGTTCGAAATCGATAATCCGCTTTATACTTCTCATACTCTTTTATTATCAAAACGGAAACGAATGTAAAATTTTATTCGATTTATTATAAACCGGAAATGATTATGTTGTGTTGGTGTCGTCCCCGTTCGAGTATTGCAATTTTAAATTACGTTAACGTCATCATCAACATCATCATCATTAATATTTTTTTTTGTTGAAGTGAAAGAACTCAATTTAATTTTTTTATTTATCTTACGAAAAAAAATAAAAAATAAAATAAAATAAATAAACATTTTAAATTAATTTACGCCATTTTATTTTTAATAATTATTATCATTATTGTCATTTCTTAATTTAATTTGACGGTTAATTTACCATTAAATTTTTATTAATTAAATTTATAAAAAAAAATTTCCTTTTTTTTTAGTTTTATTTTTGTAGTTTTAAATCGGGAGAAAAAACCCGCCAAAAAAACAAAATTCAAATTTTCAAACAATAGAAACAAATTTTTTACCCCCCCGACTGCAAAGGGTTCGCTCAACCACTTTATCAGTTTTGTAAATTTCGCATTTTAGTTTATTAAATTTCCGTTAGATGGCGTTGAGAGTCGTCCCACTTATTTTTATTTTTTATTTTTTCGTTTTTCGCGTGTTTTTGTATTTTTTTTTGGTTTTTTAAATAAAAACTCCAACAGTAATTATTATTATTATTATTTATTTACGGCCGAAAATTTTTTTTTTTTTTTTTTTTTTTTTTTTATATTCATGAATGAGTACCGTACGCATAATTCATTTTGTTTATATTAAGGAAAACAACCCTAACAAACATCCCTTACGTTTAAATTTTTTATGCATATGTCGGTTTAAATAAAAACTCGCCATGTTTTTTTTTTTTCTATAAAATAATAAAAATTTTAAACCTAAAGTTATTTTAAATCATTAAAAAAAAAAGAGAGAGAAAACGGGGAAAAATGGCTGAAAGTTAATTTACGCGGGGTTTTTTTCCGAAGAGAAAAAAAAGAAAAAGGGAAAAGAAAAATAATTTTCAGGAAGCAATATTAAAATTTTTTTTTTTTTTGCCACCATGAAAAAAGTAAAAAATGAGAGGAAAAAAAAAAATAAAAAAGAAGAAGAATAAGAATAAGAAAGAATAAGAAAAAAAAAAGATATGAGTTTTTAAAATGTACGCGCTTTTATATGAGTAAGAGAGAGAAAGAGAGAGAGAGCAAAGTTTGGATGCTGTCATTGATAAAGTACTTGTCAATCAGGATGTAATTGCTAAAAGATGTTGCTGACTCCCTTTTCATTGAAAAACTATTGAATTTTCAAAAAACCCTCATCGTTTTAACTCGTTGTCGTCGTTTTTTTTCTTTCGGTTTTACTCTTTTATTATGCTTTTCTCAAACGCCAAAAAGAAAAAAACTTTTCCGAAAACTTTTCCTTTTTTTAATGAAAAAAAAAAAAACCTTATTTCCAAACAACCGTCAAACGTTGGTAAAAGAAATTTTCCTTACCGAAATTTAATCCCTCCCCCCCCTCCACACACACACAAAAAAATTTTTTGGAAAATCTAGAGAGAGAGAGAGAGAGAGAAAGAAAATCTATTTTTTTTTTTAAATTAATTTTTTTTCCTTTTCTAATTTTTTTTGGGGGGGGAGGAAAATCTTTTCGATTTCATAAAGAAAAAAATTTTTTTTTTTTCCCTTAAAAGTCAATTTAAACCAAAAACGCAAAAAAAAAAAAAAAAAAAAATTTTAAAGCGAGAAAAAGAAGAAAAAGAAAAAAAAAATTGATGATAAGCAGAAAAGAAGAAGAAGATGAAAGAGGTGATAGACAGACGGACAGAGATTCCAGAACGAAGACGAATGACTTTATACATCGCTGGACAAAATCAATTGAATTTCTATTTTCTTGCAGCTGATGCCTCTCCCCTTCCTCCTCTCCCCTACCCTCTCTCATCCCCTCTCTCTCTTTTTTCTTCTGCTATTTTTTTTTTTTTTCAATATATACTTTATATCTTTTCCACCCCCAACATAATTTTTTTTTATTCTGGTAAACTTTAATGTCTGTATTTTGATGTAACAAAAAAAAATTTTTATATATTTTTCCACAACGTCGTCGTCGTCGTCGTCATCTCTTTTAATAAATAATAAAGATACATAATTTTTTTTGATATCTTATTTATTTATTTTTAATAATTTATTAACTTTTTAATTTTGCATGTTTGAAACTTTTCGCGAATTTGTTTTTTTTTCCAGAGGCATAAGGTTTTTTCCGGTACAAACATTATAAAGAAGGGTATCTGAACCGATTTATTGACGTTTGAAAATTTTCAATCAATAAAATCAATAATAAAAGAGAGAGAGAGAAAATAAAAAAAAGGGGGAAAGAGATAAAAAAAGGGTTATTGAATTTAAAAAATTAAACTGTTTGCGAAAAACTCCAAAAAAAAAAAAAAAACCAAAAAACAAAATGGAAGTTTGTTTAAAATACCAGAAAAGTAAATAAACGTTTTCGAAAATAAAAGGGTTAACGGTTAAGGGATGATTGTAATAATGATAATAATAATAATGGGTAATTTTTAATAACGTTTTAACCTCTACACGCATTTTTTCACGACCGAAAACAAAACCGCTAAAAAAATAAAAATAAAGCAAAATTTTTTTTAACTATTGATTATCCATTCGTAAAAAAAAATTAAACTCAGGAAAAAAAAGGTTTTTCCAAATTTTGAAAAATTTTCCAATTTTCTAAACGAAGGCAAGCAGGCAAGCAGGCAGGCAAGCAGGCAAGGAGGCATTTTTCCCGTTTAAAATGCATTTGATTGACACCGACACACGCACGCAATTGATTAATGAGTTGCAAAACTATTTCATTACTTATAAAATGACTTCTACGAATATATATTTTAACAATGATTACATAAGTCTTCTTACAATTACTTATTTTTTGGTATTATTCTTTTTAATTCAAATACGAAATTTTATGTGTGTGTGTGTGTGAGTGCGGGAGTACATTTATTTACACGCACAAAAATACTCTTATACGTGTTTATAAGCATTTTTTCAATAATAATAATAATAATAATAATAGTAACTTAAATGAAGTCTCGGGCACGTAAAAAAAATTTTTACGTTTGTAAAATTTATTTACATTGACCGATGATTAATTAATTACATCATCGAAATAGATTTTTTTTTAGAGTGAGGGCGGGGGGGAAAGAGGGAAAAATTTCCCTTTAAAACCCGAACAGATGCTTTAAAAAAAAAATTTCCCCGATGGTATCGTTGCGTACCTATTCAAAAAAAAAAAAAAAAAAAAATTTACAAGTTTTAAATAAATGATGTTGTAAAAATTGAAAAATAATGGATGCTGCATTGTATATTAATGTACCGTCCGTCGTCCACCCTTAAAAAAAAATTTTTCTTTTTTTTTTTTTCCTATAATTTATTATTTTATTATCATTAGAAAATTTTCAACAGTGCCGGTTTCGGGATAACTTGTCTCCTTCGAGTATAATATTTTCTTTAATAAAAAAAAATTAATTATTTATTTAATTGCAATGGTAAACGTTTACGCTGTGGATAAATAAACTCATCGAAAACATCGGTTAATATATATTTATTATTATTATTAGCGTTCGTAATAATAATAATAATAATAATAATAATAATAATAATAATACATTTATAACTTTACGTTATGCGTTTAAAGAATTTTTACGTTATTATTATTAGAAAAAAAAAAAAATAACAGAAGAAAACAAAAAAAATAAATAAATTTTGTGCATAAGTGTGTGTGTGTGTTTTTTTTGAATCTTAGTCACGCCACTGAATTTTTTCAATGTTCAAGTTAAGTTATGTGTGTGTGTCGGTTCAAAATGAAAGAATGAACTTTTTTTTTTTCCATATTGATTCCATTCACAACTACCTTTTGAAACGTCTTTATTTTAATAACAAACAATTTACGATCTCGTTTGTTCGCGTTTTTTTTTTTTTCTCCATCAAAAAAACGAACAAATCGTTCGACAGAATTTTCCAATACCAAAACGCAAAAAATTTTCACGGATTGATAAAAGCAAAAAACGAATGATAAGAGCGAAAAGAAAAATAAAAATATGTTTGCAATTATAAAATTGATTGATTGATAATAAAATGATGTGGCATGACGAAACGATTAAAATTTTTAAGGGTTGGTTGGGATTTTAAATTTTAAATCACCCCTTCCACGGTACTATATTAATCGGTTATTGATATTATTTAAGGGTAGTAAATGACCATTTACTACCCTTAATTAACGTTATTATTAAACATTTCAGAAATGTAATTATTACTTTAAATCATTTCCTGGAAGTAAAAGTTTTTTTTTATAAAAAAAAAAAATATTCGACGAGATTTTTTTTTTTTAATGATATTCTTACTCGCCGCAGGTAGTAATAAAAAGAAAAAAAAAGGTAATTAAAAATGACAGTAATTATTACGCTACCGGATAATAATTTTGAATTTAAAGTACAAAACCCAATTTTTTAAAAACTTAAATTTATTTTTGATGTAAAATTTATCGCCATATGGACTTTGAAAACCTAAAAAAAAAAAGGAGAGAAAAACTTCACCCTACGTAAAAAGGCAACAACAACAACAATCTGTACAGTTTTCATTAGTAAAATTTTGCGAAAGAGGGGTCGACAAAAAAAAAGGAAAAGGAAAAAAAAAAAGTTTTTACTTGGGGTGTTATTGAAAATATCGGGAACTGAATTGACAACCAATGTCGAGGGTGGTGACAATAGAACGCACAAGGTCGGGGTGGGTATTATGTTCCCTTATCCAAGGGGTAAAGAAAGGACGCCCAAGCGACCCAAAACCACCCAAAAATTGAAATTTTTTTTTTTTTGTATATCAAACACATGATCGTTTACACATAAGCGAAATATAAGTTTTAACTATCTATTTTTTATTCTTATTTTTGGTCTACGAGTAGTAGCCTTGATCACACAAATCATTTTCTTTTTTTTTTTTTTTTGCCAGTTTACAAACGCCTCTTCTGCCACGTAACTGCACGACGAACAAACAAAAAATTTTTATTTGTTTCATAATAAAAATTTTTTCAATAACAAAAATACTAACGTAATAAACGAATACATAAATTTTATTTATTAGTTATTATTATTAAAAAGTGAATATAAATATACGACAGTAGGTTGTGTTAAATTTTGTACAGTGATTAACTATGTAGGTGGAACTAATTTAAAAATTTTAGTGAAAAACGCTTTCGTAATTTATTCGTTTTATTTTTTTTTAAATTTTTAAAAGACTATATTAATAATAATAATAAGAGGGAATGATAAAAAATTTGATAAAATATGGAAGGAAACATGAATCATTATCAAAATCCTTACGTCCTTGAACATTCGACAACTCAAAATTGGTACGATAACGTACCCATGGCAACAACGGATTACAGTAAATACAAGACTGATAAAATTGAAGAATATCAATACTACCTAAACAACCCGAATAATAATCATCATTATCATCATAATCAGGCGGAAATATACAATGGCGGAATAACGACAGAAAAATTAAAACAAAATTATTTTTTACAACAACAAAATTTCGATTACGAAAAAAAAATACAAAAAGAAAAATTTATGTACGAGGGTGGATTTTTTTTCCACCACCATCCGAATGATAACAAACAAAATTTTATCCAGTCATCTAAAAATGTTTATCATCATGATTATTATCACAAATTTCGTAACAAACTAGATAATGATTCGGACGCCATTATTAAATTTAACGACAGCAATGATAATAATAAAGATTTTGAAAATTTTTTCCCAATACAAGAAAATGATAAAAATAATTTTGTTGATAACAACGCGCAAAAAATACACAACATTTGTGATAATAATTACGGTGAATCTAATTTTTTAGTTGGAAATGATGAAGTTATAAGAACCGCCGCTACCACCACCACCACCACCCCCTGCGCTGGAATCGTAACGACAACAAACGCAACAACCAAAGAAGAACAATTATTACCTGAACCAAATGTTATTTCTAGTCTACCGATATATCCGTGGATGGAAAACGGTAAATATTATTATTATTATTATTTTGAAATCGCAAGTTGCGATTTTAACTCGGCGGTCATTTTGTTTTTTACCGGAAATGAAAATTAAAGACGATTTTTATCTGTGTTTTAAAACGTAATAAATTGATTTTAAAATAATTTTTTTTTCTCTTACGTAGGTAAAAAGAGTCAGGATGAAACTGGAGGGAAAAGAACTCGACAATCGTATTCCAGACGACAGACGCTGGAACTGGAACAGGAATTTCATTCGAATAGATATTTAACGAGAAGTAAAAGGATAGAAATTGCGAGATCGCTCGGACTTACCGAAAGACAAGTTAAAATATGGTTTCAAAATAGAAGAATGAAATGGAAAAGAAGTTTTTTACCAACTGGACAAAATTTACAATTCCATACTCCAGCACCAACATGATAATAATAATGATAATAATAATAACTTTAAAAAAAAAAAATTTTTTTCTCTTTATAAATTTTTTTTAAAAATAAATTAATTCTGGTCTTTTGTTACCCCGTAATAATAATAATAATAATATGAATGATTATATATATTTATATTTTATATTATAATAATTCAATATATATATATATTATATTTTAGTATAAATAAATGCGAATCACAACCTTGAAATTATTTGGGAAAAGAAAAAAAAAATTCTCAACCTTGAGTAAAAAGAAAGGAAAAAAAAAAAAGATGACAAATTTGAAATTTATGATCCCTATGATGGCTCCACTACTACCCTCTCCCTCCTCCTCCACTTCCCCCCAGTCAGAAAATAAAAAAAAAATTTAAACGAGTGTGAATTAGAAAGTTAAATCCACAATTTACACAAAGGAAAAATTAGGTTCAGGTATTGAAAACCCTTTTTTTTCCTTTTTTTATTTAACTTTAAATATTTGGACAAAAAACGTCAAATTTTTTTTATTTAATATAATCATCCTTACAAACGCTTTTCAAAAAAAAAAAAAAAAATTTCTTTTTTTTCTGTTTGTTTGTTTGTTTGTTGCTATTTTTTTTTGGTATCAAAAAAAAAAACCTTTTTACCGGTGAAAGTACTAACAACAAACATTTCTCTCTCTCTCTCAGGTATCCTTTTTCAGTATTAAACCTAAACTCGCATCGACAACGTTCAGCAATTTTTTTTTTATAATAAATATACTCGAAACAAACAAACAAACGAACAAACCACTTGTAAAAATTGTAACAAACAATCGTTTATCAAAACACCTCGTTTACATATAAAAAAAATTTTTTTTTTTATATTCGAATCCAGTGATTAATTTATAATTTTATAAACAATCTGACAAATTTTTTAGTTAAAAAAATTTATGTACATAAACAAATGGTAAGTTTATTACATATATATTATATTATATTAATGTTATTATCATTATAAAATATAAAAATAATTTATATTATTTAATTAATATATATATATTTTTTTTTAAAACAAATAAAACGCATAATTTCAACAAAGTCGTAAAAATGTCTAAATTTCCACATTATAAGTTGTCCTCGTTTCGATCATACGATTATATTATGATAATATATATTAACTAAATCATTTTATGATAAATTTTAATTAACAATATGGCTACTCGACCACTAATTAACCGGTTGATTTTTTTTGTTGCTTTTTTTTTAAAACAAAAACTCCAATGGTGGATGTAAAATGTGGTGGTGGTAAATCTAACGGATTTAAGTAAATTTTTATATTAATAATAATAATAATAATAATAATAATAATAATAATAATAATAAAATTTTTGGGTTAATATGAAAAACTTCATCGTCGTAAAATTACCTGTATGTAAAAAAAAAAAAAATCAATTATAGTCATGTTAGAAAATCATTAGCGTTTTTAATGACCAAATTAATTTACTTTTTTTTTTGGCTAACGTAAATCTAATAGCAACCGAAAGGAAATAATAATGATAATAATAATAATAATAATAATAATAATAATAATTAAAATGACCGCGGATTACTGTCGTCCTATTTGTTCGCGAAAGTTTTTTTTCCCGATTTGTTTAAATAAAAAATTATTTAATTATTTGTAAATAAGCAGATAATCAAAATATCAACAAACAAACGTAGTCCGTTTGTTTTTAATTATTTTTTTTCCCCCGTTTGTTTTAAAAAAAAAATTATTTCTCAACCGTTTTCGTAAACGACCCTCGAATTTAAAAATAACATAAGCTAAACGTAGATTTTAAAAAAAAAAATTTAAAGCGCATGATCAACATGGCGGTAAAACTCAACCGGTCGTCGTTTGTCGGTTTAAAATAAAATATTATTTTTATTTATTTTAATAAAAAGTTATTATTAAAATATTAACGTTAAAATAATTATTGAAATTATCAATTTATTTATTTATTAATTAGTGTTTATTTTATTTGTGTGATTTATTTTCGTAAAAATAAAAATTTTTATTTGTGTCTCGTGCGTTTGTTATTTTGTACGGCGTCACATGTGAAAACAAAATGGCGGATTTTTTGTTTGTATTGTTGTTGTTTATATTGAAATTTTAAAAGTTTCTTTTTTTTTTATTGTTTAAAATTATTTAATTTATTAATAATTGTTTTATTTTATTTATTGCAATTGATTTTTCTAATTGTTTAATAAAAATAAAAATAAAATCTATAATATTAAACACATAAATTAAATTTATACATTCGATATAAAATTATTATTATTACTATTTCACTGTTCTTTTATTTTATTATTATATTATTATTATTATTATTATTATTATTATTAATTGTAATTTTAATAAATAAATTAATGTAAATTTTTTACCGCGCGCGTGTGTGTTTATAAAATAACATAAAAAACAAAATGTTTGTTTGTATCCGTTCATGCATTTTTTATGTTTTACAAAACACATTTCTTTTTAATTTTTGTATTTATTAACATAAAAAATAAATAAACAAACACTTTATTATGTACATAACATGAGTGATTAGTAATTTTTGAATTATATTTATTATTTAATAAAATTTTATAATTTTTTATGTATCTTATAATTGATTTTATGTTTTATATTCTACCATTTTGTTTTTTTAAAATAAATAAATAAGTAAATTTACAAATTTGATATGTTATGGTTTTATTACGTCATCTATTAAAAAATATTCTTTTGTTTATATTTTATTTATTAACAAGATATAAACAATAAAGATAGTAAAGTTAAAAAAAAAAGTTATTAGATTTTTTACAAAAAAAAAACCCTTTAAACAAATTTCAGCACGACAAGAAAAAGCAATGTTAATGTTATTAAAATAAATATTTTTTTTATTTTTCTATCAATAAATTAAATCAAATAATAATAATTATTATTACTAATATCGATAAATTTTAAATTTTATACATCACCACGAGATTTATTTATTTATAAGAAAAAAAGGAAAATTTCTAACGAATTTGTTATGAATTTTTTTTCCTAGATCTTGTTGTGAATAATGTTTTTTTTTTTTTTTTTAAAAAAAAATAAGAAATTGTAATCAATGTTATCACGATACATAATTCATTCAATTGAATTTTCCCTCATATTGGTAAGAAGAATTCATTAATCATTAAGAGTCGGAAAATAAGCACGTGTATCAAGAGACCGACCACGGGGGTAATGAAAATCTGGTATTAGCGAAAAGCTTTTCGATCCCCATTCTTCTCCTCCCCACCTCCACCCCTTCGCATCCCTTATAAAACTCTGACCTATCACAATCAGAAAATGTTTTTCCCCGTATATAAATTCATATATAAATCATCATCATCGTTGCCACCACCACCACCACAACTAATAATTATACCACCGTAATCTTTTCTCGTTTTTCGGCGAAAAACCATTCGCACTTTTAAATAATAATAATATCACATAAAATTTTTTAAATAATCTGAACAAAACGAATGGTAATTTTAATAAATAATAATTTATTTATTAATTACGTAATTAATTTTACTAACTTTTATACCACACACGACTTTTTACCATCTTTAACAAACCCTTCCCTCTCACTCTTCTCTCTCCCTTCTCTCTCTTTCCGTTTTAAACTAATTAAAAAAATTTAAAAAAATTTTTTCACGTAATTATGTTAATAAAAAAGTAATAAAATTTACCAAAAAAAAAAAAATTAAGGTAACATTAAGCGAAGGACGGTAATAAATGAAATAAATTTCGAAAAAAAAAAAATTTTTTTTGTATACGTCACGTTAATGATGGCGGCGGACGGTGGATTCGACATTTTATATGATACAAATAATAATAAATTTTTAATATTATTTAAACACTACGAGGTACTCTAATAATAATAATAATAATAATAATAATAATAATAATAATAATAATGATGATGATAATAATAATCGAAGTGCGGGAGAAGAGAAAAAAAAGAAAGAAAAATTTTTTTTTTCATTTTTTTTTTTTTTTAGCCCCTTGATCGACCCTTGACCGACCCTCAATCCCAAATCGGCCGTTGTCGTAACGTTTCATTTATCTTGCAAGGATCACTCAACCTTAGAATGAACTTGATTTTAGCAAATAATAACAAAAAAAAAAAAATTTTTTTGTTACAAAAATTCTCATTAATTACGTGATTCACATTTTACATGTTTAACTTATTAAATAAAAGAATCAATTTTTTTTTTTTCTTTTACTCCCGGGCAACAATTCAACTCATCCGAATTTAATTTTTTTTTTTAAACTATCGATTGTAGATTAATTTAAACCGGATGTTTTTCCGAAAGGATAAAAAATAAAATGGCGGAGTGGTAAAAAAATCGGTTATTTTTATAACCGCTAAATAATTTTTTCAATTACGACATTTTTGCATCTTTCGTGCCTGCATACACTCACACAACAGGTACGATCGTTCATGTTTTTTTTTTGAAAAAGAACAACCGGAAATGAGTTTAGTTTTTCTCACGTTAAACACATACACACATATTCGAAGGACTTTGAAAAAATATTTAATTATGACGATTATCAAACGAATTTTTTTTTTTCCTTTTTCGGTTTACTTAAAATACGAAAAACAAGAGAGACAATAAAAAAAACGAATAAGAATAAAAGAAAGAGAAAAGAAGAGAGAAAAAAACTTTTGAAAAACAATTGTGTCAATCAGAGAAGGAAAAACCATTAAGCGAAAAAAAAAAAAAAAAAGTGACCAACCTCCATGAAGGTCTTCACCCTACGTATGCCAAAATCAACCCTCACTCAAATAACTTTTAATAATTATACGATGATAGTTTTCTCAATATTAAATTAAATCCCTACATTATTTTTCTTAGAATAAAAAGAAAAAAAAATTTTTCAATACAAAAGAATTCATTCGTCTTTTCCTGTCAAAAATTCACTATTCATAAGAATGTTTACTTTCTTATTCCCAATCGTGCAACTTTTTTTTTTTCCATTTCGATATCGTTTCAAACATGGTTTTAAATATTATTATTATTTAAACTAATAATTTATTTATTTATTTATTTGTTTCAATCTTTATTAAAAATTTTTTAATAATTAATAAAAAAACGCACAAAAACCCATTGTCGTCGTCGTCGTCCTCGTCGTTTTCTTTTTATTATTTAAACAATAATAATAATAATAAACAAACAAACAATAATCTCTCATTAAAACATATTAAAAACGACGATAATAATGATGATGATGATAATAAAGAAGATTTAATATATATGTCGTCGTGTCAAATTTTTTTTTTGTTTGAATATGACGAATTACGATTTCAAATATGGAGAGTTCCATTGTGTGTTTTTTTCTTATAAAAATTTTACGTAAGTTTTTGTTGCCTTCGGTTAATTTTTAATATCAATCGAATAAATAATGAATGATTGAATGAATGAATGTTTAATCGGAAATAATGATTTTAATATAGAAGAATGAATAAAAGATGAAATAATCAAACAATGAGTGTCATCCGCTTAAAATCTTTTATGCGAATTTTTTTTTTTTTTTTGTTTCTTTAAAGAAGAAAACCGACCTTAAAACCTGTTTAAAAAGAAGGAAAAAAATCAATAAATCAATATTTATTTATAAATCGGACATTAAAAAACATACAGGTGAGAGAGAGAGAGAGAGAAACGTTACCTTTTTTTTTCGTAACAACAAAGAATGAGAAGATGATGATAATCGATTAGGTTAATTTTAATGTTTTTCCATCGATCGAAATAAAATCTTAAAAAAAAAAAGGATTCACGATTTTATAGAAAGAAAAAAGGATTTTCCGATAAACACGAAAAATAAATTTAATTTAATTATTAAAAACGGACGGCGTTATCAGTATAAACAAATTGAATATTGAAAATGAGATAATAAAAGAAAAAAATTCGTTTTTTTCCCCCCGCATTAAAAAATCGTGGTCTTTGGATGCTGTTGGTCCATTTCGTGAAAAATATATTAAATACTTATAACGTATTAACATCGGGATTTTTTTTTTTAAAAGTTGATGTTTATAAAGTTCACGTGATGGTTTACGAAAAAAAAAGTTTTTTTTTCAATGAGAGACATCACACACCTCTCGAGCAGATGCATCCCCGAAAATTTTTTGATTTATTTCCCTTCCATTAAAAATTTTATTTTATTTTTCTGTTAAAAAAAAATCCGCCACTCCCAAAATTTTGCCTTTTTTTTAACATTTACAAAAATTTCTTCTTGCTTTGCAAATGAATAAAAACATAAGTGCATGCGTGTATGTGTAAAACGTTTGGTTTCGATTTACGATATTTTTTTTTGTTGTCAAATTTTCAGAGATTTTCTATTTTTTTTTTTATCAGTCTTTATAATATAAAAAAAGGGCATTAATTAATATAAAAAACGAACATAAACAATTGATACCACGTGTCAATAATAATAATAATAACACACGGATTTAATAATAATAATTCACATGGAAAACTGATAATTTTTTTTTTTTTTTTCCTTTCCCGATCGAAATTTTTTATTTTTTTAATCGATTTTTTTTCTTATTTTTTTTTTGTCGTGTCTTTATTATATCTTTTGAATTCTTTTCATATTTTCCCGCCAAAAAAATATTAAAAATTTGAATGCGATATACAGGAAGAAGAAAAAAAAAAAACGATTTCCGATTTGCTGATGAATGTCTTTTTTTTTTCTCGAATCCTTTCTTTAAAAAAAAAAATTATTATCACTTCTCTATTAAAAAAAAAAAAATATTATTCAAGGCATATACCTGAACAATATTCAAAATAATAATAATAATAATAATTAATTTGTTTTTAATTACGATCGTGTTAATTTCTTCTTGTTTTTTAATCATAAAAAAAAAAAAAACCTTTTTCTATTTAAAATTTTTTTCTTTTTTTCTTTTTGTTAAACCCCTCTTCCTTCTTCCTTCTTCCTTTTTCTTTCTTTTTCTTCTTTTATTTTATTATAAAAAAATTGGATAGTATTATTTCGGTATTTTTTTTTTTTTAACTCGATAAATCAGTGAAAAGAGAAAAAAAAATAAATAAATTGACTACCCTGCTGCCATCTTATGGCAAAGGGTAGTAATAGTCAACAAGTCTTCTTTCTTCACCCCATAAATTTTTATATATATAGGTAACCGACGACCCTCAATTGAGGGTAATAAAAATTATTATTATTATCATTATTATTATAGTTACTAAATCATTTTGTTGTAATAATTTACAATTGAAAACTTTATTTATTTATTTATTTACTCACTCACTCTCTCTTTCTCTCTCTTTCTCTCTTTTACAAGCAATGTAATTATTTTATTTGATGTTTTATTTATTTTTTTTTTTATTTTCAGGTGAATGATTTGCGGAGAGAAAAGAATTTTCTAGAAAATGACCGTTTTACAAAAATAATATTGATAATTTTTATATTGTTGTAATCAAAAATTTATAATAAAAATTATATTATTATTATTATTTTATTACTTTTTTTCCCCATTTCCTTTACAAATTAATTTTAATTGTGAAAAGAATATTAAAAAAAAAATTATTTTTTCATATTATCGTTTAATTATTTACGTTTTATTATTATGTATAAATTTTTTTTCTTTTTATTAACTTGCAATTTTAATTAAAAGAAAAAAAAATTTTTTTTTACAGTACAAAAGACAAAGATTAATGTCATTAAATGAGTGTCTATCTAATTACACTTCTTCCTTGTAATATTTCGTCTGGAAACTTGAAAAAAAAAGTTAAAGAGAAAATAATTGAGGTAAAATACAAATGTATTACTTTTAAGTTGCCATTAAACTATATAACTGTTTTTTTTTCTTGTGGTTGTTGTTGATTTTTTAATAATTTTTAAACCTTAAAAAAAAAAATTAAAATACATCAAACATATCAGTTTAAAAACTCAACGATTTTTCACACTTATGGCTCTCGAACAACGCATATTTTGTTGTTGCTACAAACAAAAACAAAAAAAGCACGAGGACAAAACATAAAATTCATACGTAGAGAGCAAAAGTTCTAAAAAATTTTCCTCTCATTATTAAAAAAAAATTTTCGATTTGAAAAAATAAAAAAAATTTCCCAATAAATAAATAAAAATCAATTCGGTACATTTAAATAAATAATAACGACAACAACAACAACAAAAACAAAAAAACAACAACAACATGGTAAAAACGGAAGCCAAAACGTTATATCTCCATTATTAAACTTTTTAAACCTTAAGCTTAATTATAAAAGAGAGAGAGAGAGAGAGAAAGAGAAAGAAAAACTTGATAGTAAATTATAAAAAATTATGCCGTACACATAAGTTAAACACGAGAGCGATATGTTTTCATAATATTATTTCGCCCCTCCATTTCCCCTAATTTCTCCTTAAATCATTCCCCTTTTGTAGAGTTCGCTGTGAACGTAAATTTGACGATTCAAGAGGTAAGACAAGCATTAGGATTATGGAAGATGTTAAAATTCACATTCATCATCCTAGATACAATAGGGTTGGTCATGTTATTTTTTTTTTTTTCTTTTTTTTTTTTTATTTTTATTTTTTTATTTTATTTTTTTTTTTTATATATTTTTTTTTTTTATTTTATTTCTCGAACTTTTTTTTTCTTTTTTTTTTTTTTTTTTAGTATTTTCCCGGTTCAAATGTTCTTATTCCACAAGATAACTATTGCAGTTAAACATCTCGCCGCGTTTTGTATATATTTGTTTGTTTGAAAATTTATATACCGCGGAAAACGTGGAAAAATTTTTTCCTCGTGACCGCCGACGATAATATTATAATTATTATTATTATATT